AAATTTCTCATCGAAATACACCATTATGAGAATGAACAGGTAAGCCACACATTGAAAGACAATAAGTGAAAAACATGCATTTGACATAGGACTGTTACACAGGATATATAAAGAACTCCTACAAATTGGTAATTAAAGACAACCCTTCTGCAAATACATTGTGAAAAGGAGTTGGAGATTCTTCCCTGAGGAAGATATGAACGGCCAATCGGCACATGATAAAAAAAAAACATCATTAGTCATCAGGGGAATGGAAGCTCAATCTATAATGAGTTATAGTTAAATATCCATTAGAATGATAAAAAGTAAAACAAGAACACCATCAAATGTTGACAAGCCTGTGGAGCAACTGGAACTCTCATATATTACTGGTGGGAGTATAAAATGATACAAACATTTTAGAAAGAATGTCTTTCAGTTTCTTTACCTAAGACAAATGAAAGCATATGTTTTCATTTCATTACTGTACAAATCTATATGACTGTACAATAATGTTCATAAACAGCTTTATTCATAATATCTCAAAAAATGGAAATAGCCTAGGTGTCCACCAACATGAGAATGAATAAACTGATATTTTCATACAAGGGAAAATTATTCAATAATAAAGATAAATAAATTACACTTATGCTGAAAAGCATAAATTGGAAAAACATCCCAGTGATGTTTTGATGTTTGAGTGAAAGAAATTTCATACACAAGAGTGTATAAAATACAGTCTCTGTATATGAACTTGTAGAACAGAAAAAGTAATACATGATGAAAAAAATCAGAACACTGGGATGGTGGCAGGAGTTGACTGGATAGAGGCATAAAAGAACTTTCTGAACTCATGGTAATGTTTTTAATCTTGAGAGGCATTTAGAAAACAAAGGTTTTATAGTTGCCAAAACTTGTCAAATGGTATACTTAAGAACTGAGTAGTACACTGTGTATACATTTTACCTTAAAAAAAAAAAGAACCATAAACAAATTGTACATAATGAGGTGTTTAGGCATGAATATCTTACTTTACCATGTCTTAAAAAAAAAAAAGATGAACTGACGGACAGAGAAAGGAATTAGATATACATAGTAATTGTAAATATAGTAAACATATAGGTAATATAGTAAACATAGTAAAATGTTAATTATAGAATCTAGATGGCAGATACATAGTGTTCAGTCTAAAATTCTTCTAATGTCTTTGTATGTTTGGAAATGTTTATAATAAAATTTAGAAGAAATCAGTATCTTGCTTTTATCCAGAAGAAAGCTGTTAAAAAAGTTTGAGTAGAATTCATTAAGTGTAAATTGTCTGCTTCTAAAAATTTGAATTGTGACAAAAACAGAGCATATTTTCCATATCTCTGAAAAGACCTCAACAAGACCTTCTCTATCTACTCGTGCTGGTAAAAAAGGAAAAAAAATACCAGTGATCTTTTTTCTTTTGCTTTGGGTGGTTTAGCTGAGTCTTGTCCAGCACTCCCATTTCCTGCGAATCCTAGGTAGTTTTCTGAGTGCTGTGATCCAGAGGATGGAGCTGTTAGTGGAGGATGAGCTGTGTTCTCAGGAGACTCTGGGTAGGACTTCAGGCAAGATTCCTGCCCAAGATGTGGCCTTGAAGTCAAGTGACCAGGACTTACACTGACATTTGATTTTCTTTAATAGCTCATGAATTTAATACTATTTGAAACTTACAAATATAAAAACACATATATTATTAACCGGTCTCCAGAAATGATGACCCCATCTTATTTATAAGGGTCTAAATATGTTAATTTTTAATCTGTCTTATCATTTATGTAAAATCAGAATTCCTCAGAGAGTTTCCAAAATTTTGCTGATTTTGTCAGATACATTTTTACTTGGAAATTTTGTTAGCATTTCAAACTTATATGATGCAAAGGCACCTTTAAACTTTCCCCCCAAACTGGATGCCTTCCAGGCATTACTTTATCAATGGTGACTAACCGTCTCCTGGTATAACTCAGGCTCAATACCTTCGGGACCCTGTAGGTGCCTCTAGCTCCTCTCACATCTAGTTTCTTCCTTCCTTCATAGTATCCCTCGTACCTATGTAGTTTCTTCGGTTATAACTACAAGTCTGTTCTCTCTCCCATGTGGAAGCACTTCAAATATTTGAAGACTATTCTATTTCACAGCGTCTTCTCTTCTGTATGTCAAACACCTCGAGTTCCTTCAAACACTTATGATGAGACATATTTTCAAGTTTCCTTCATCTCCTGATTACTCTCCTTTAGACATCCCCCACTGTGTCAATGTCCATCTACAGGATGGTGCCGCAACACCGCAACAAAACAAAAAAAGTTTCCTTATCAGTAAAATCATAATATCGACTCCTAAGAAATTTACAGGCAAACAAAGTCTCTACGTCTTTTTCATATATGGTATTATTAATTACATAACCCATATCCTACCAACTCCACTAACCATAGAGAATTGGCCTACAGTTCTCTATTATGTATTTAAAAAATTATGCTAAATTTTGTAAAACGTTTTGCTAAAATTAAGATATTAGTTTCAAGAGTATTTCTTTGATGCCTAGAAACATTATCAAACAAGGAGTAAAGTAATTATGGCATGGGCTTTTCTTACAAAAAAGATCATTGCTATTTGTGTAGAAACCATGTAGGAAAACAAATCTAGAAATTAAGTTGAACTAGTATTAAACTTGCTAGTCTGAGAAACTCAGGCTTAACCAACTCCATTCCTTATATGGTTAGTACTCAAGAATGATAATCATTAAAATAGAAAGCACTGTGTATTATATTAACTCCATGCCTTGAGTTTCCAATTGAATCTTAGAACACCCTTTTGAATGTAACCACCCTTTAGCCAAGGAATCTTGAACTCTTTCCTTAATAGCCCTAAGGCCTTACTTTTCTAATCTAACCTTCTGCTTGAATATTTTAATGAGTTTTTTTTTCCCTTGTACAATTATGCTGCCTCTGAGGCCCTGAGTATTCTTCCCACTTTCACCATCCTACCAAAGTCCTATCTTTCCTTCAACACCCAGCTTCCTCTCTGAAGTCTTTGATTGTAATTAGGGAGCTTTATCTTAACTTCTGCTCTTTCTTTCTATGCCACTTATTTGGAAATTAGTATATGCTGTTTTGAATAGTTTGTTTGCTTATTCACTTATTTCCTTGTTAGTCTTACAGAAAGATCCCTCTCGATGAATACAGATCCTATCAATCTTCAGAGTCCTCCTCTGTACCCAGTTTGATAAAGTCCTTGATGTTCGTTGCTGATTTGTAACATTTATGAGTAAGATTCTTACTTGAGAGTGGCCACTCTTTTTGTGTTTTGTCAGGTAACAAAAGGACAGGAAGACGTCTAGTCCCTCTGAATGTTCATTTTGACCACCAGTCACAGAGGAGGAGGGGTGTCTGGCCAGCCAGGAAAATGCGTGAGGCTTGTACTAACATATTTAGTCAGGGTGCTTTCCGACACTCATGCCTCCAACCTCCCAGAGAGCCCAGGAAACCCAGTACACACAGACCATTTTTCTTAACTGCTGGGTGGCTGGGAACAGCGGCTGTGGTTGCTGAGCAGTTGCCCAGGGCAGCTTGGCCACCCTGGAGAACCAAGAAAGCGGGAGAAATAGAGTTTTCCTAGCTATGCAAGCAATCCCTTGAATGCTAAGGGAAAACTAAGCTTGTTATGTTCACTGTAAATTTCTCCAATTAGAAATGTTACAACGAATTTGTCTGATGTTAATGAAAAGCATACTTACATACAGATTCATAAAGTGAACATGTACCAAAGACATTTTAGAGGGTGTTCTTTGACATCATAATGTGGGTTTGTAACATAAAGAAAACAAATAGTGTTTAATCAACTGGGTAGGCTTTAGGGACTTTTTAAGTATGCTGACTGATACTGATGTATGACCTTTTCCAAGGAAAAAAAAATGGATTTTTAATGGGCACAAACATTTTAAATCCCTACTTGGATTCCAAGCCAATCTGATTCTCCAAGGGGCATAAAAAGATGTCAAACTTTTGGCTTGTAACATGATGCTATATGGCATATATCTTTGTGTATTTTCTAAGTATCCTAGAGCAGAAATTCTTAAACCTGGGGTCCACAGATCCCTTAGATTCATAGAATGATTTCAGAGGGTTTCTGAACAGCTGAATTTGTATGCAAAATTTGTGAATGTGTTTATGGAGGAAGTTTATAGTTTTCATCAGATTCCCAAAGCCATTTTCAGGTTATACATTTCACCCAATTCGATCCAAAGCTCACTTCACAATTAATCCTTGTAGAGGTTAACCTAGCTGCCTTGCTACCTTCTCTGTAGTTATTAGACTGAATTACATGAAATTGTTTATTCTAGTGAAAAATATAAAATATTAGCAGATTCATTCAATAGACATTACATTTCTGGGTTTTAGGTACATGGTGCTTACAGAAAATGTTTTTATACTGAGAGTGGTACACAGTTATCACATAAAGCCTTTAAGTTGGCATGGAGACTTTATATTCTCTATAGGTGGGGATCCCAGCAACAAAACCGGATCAGAAAAGAATGTGATCTTCACATGATAGGGCCAATATAAACACAGAGGATAAATGGAGCCATGCTTCTTTAAAACATGTTTAGAGATGGATTAATAATTGGAAAGTGAAATTATCAATAAATGTTAGGAGTTGATCTCATCTTTGAGGTACAAAGAAGTAAATAACTTTACTCAATGTTATTAAATTTCCTAAACCAGCTATTCATCTCCTATGGAAATGAGAAAAGCTCTGCAGCTCTCTCCTTCACTGAAGGGCTAGAGAAGCTGAATAAGGCAAGGAAAACATGAAAAAAAGGTTAGGGCTTGGCACATAGTAGGTGCTCAGTAAATGTTTGAATGTTGAATGTATTAACATTCGTTGACTGTAGGCTATACATCCCTATATAATCTTTTTCAAAGACCAACTAATGTAAATACTAGACATAAGAAAAAATCCACAGTTGTGTCAAAGACACATTTTTTGATACTTACCTCAGCAGAGTTGTGATGCTGAATGAATGTTGCAGAAATAGCATGGCTGAAGGGGTCTCCTGCCTTGGTTACCATGTCTTGCCTCACAAGAAGAGCCAGATCCACTAACTAGAAGATCAGAGCAATGAAAATAAAGTCATATAGTGGAAATAATCATCAATGTCATGGAAGTGGCCAAATTAAAAGGAATATACTCTAAATGTTATTGACAATACGGTCTGCCTAGAATCTGTATTATGGACATGAGCATATGCTTTCCTTGACAGTAAGAGGACCTACCCATGAATATAAATGACATATTCTGACCTTTTAGGGGAGTGGTTCTCAAACTTTATTTCATAATCATGGGGAAGCATTTTAAACACAGATTTCTGGGCTCTAAGCACTGAGATGCTAATTAAGTCTGCTCTGAGTTATAGTCTAGGCATTTATATTTTAAACAAGAACCAAGGAGATGCTGATGATTAAGGCTGAAGACCATGCTTTGGGAAACAAAGTACTCAGCAGACTGTACATATGTAAAAAGGTATTCTTCCCTCAATCAAAGCACAAAAATAATCTCTAAACAAGGCAGATGTGTACTTAGAATTCAATGTTGAGACAAAGTATGCATAGGTTCCACTTCTGGTTAGGATAAAGTTGCAAAACAGTTATGTTTACTTTAAAAACCCCTAAAGCTGAGGTTGCAAAGAAACATAACTGAGAGAAATCTCAGAAAACAAGATTTCTCATTCCTAGGAGAGCAGCAGGCGGAAGTACAAGTTGATATGAGAAGAAAGCAACCATGTATGGCCTGATATGACACATGAGAATTCTTACCTGTGCCACAGTTTCATATGCTAAGTATGCTAAAATTTCCATAGCGACAACATTGGGTTTTATCTCCATACTGCTGCAGTCCAACCAATCGCGAAATTTGGAGGCTTTTTTGGCTGGCCATCAAAAAAGTAAGTACAGAAAATTTAATTTTTGAAGTGCTTTAATACTGCATATTACAATCACAATAAAAAACAGATATTTCTAAAACTGAAAATTAAAAATAATGTATATAAAATACAATGTTTTCAGAGTTTTATAAGTGTCTAGCAACTGTAGCTGCAAGAAATCACTTATGCATTTGGGTCCTTTATTTTGTATCTTTGCTATATAACACAGTATAGTAAACTACTTTATACTTCTCACACTATGTCAGAATAAGTTGCCATTGGCCATAGCTTATGTCGTAACAATAGTCAGAAGAATTACTTGCTTGATGTAACTTTAATTTTTTCTTGAGGAAAGAAATTCCTACAAGAAAAAACATGTGTTAAAAAAGGGCACATATGGAAATTGTATTTTTAATATCTTTCAAAATGTCTGTTACTAGAATAGTATCATAGTTACCAATTTAGAATTAAATAGAATAAACTGATATCTGACCTGATCTAAGCCTGTGGTTGTATTTTCCTATTTACAGAGATATCCAAATTTTTAAGCCTGACTCTCAAAACCATACAGACTACTTACAATATGTCTATATCATTCCCAATGGAAATCTGGCCTTGAATATAATCCTCTCTGTGTTCACCCTTGTTCCTTTCTCTCCATGGAAATGACCTCTGATTGCTCATCTTCATTTGTATGAATCCTGTCCATATGGGCCAAAGGTATACTTCCCTACTCCAGTCATTCACTGCACACTTATTCACCAGATATCTTTTCATATTTGCTTACTGAGTTCTCAAATCATATTTTAAGTTTTTTTGTGGGCAGACACCATGTGCTATGACTCTGCATGCCTAATGGTACCAAGCACATATGGAACCTTCCATTAAACATCTCTAAATTGCCACAGTACTAAGTGGAATCTAACTTTATATAGGGCCTTCATTAGATATTACTAGTTTGACTAGTAACCTATAGGGAAAAGATTGATAGTGAAGAGTTTATCTATAACATAATTTTTTAAAAAACCCACAGATTATTCTTTTAATTAGTCTGGTTCCATAGGTCTGTAAAACACATAACAGTAACTCAAAGTATGATGTTTTGATCCTTAGAGATATAGTCTTCATGGATACCATATACAAAAGTTTCTTTTAAATAAATCACATAAGATATTAAGTCCTATTGAAGCACATTTCCAAAGCTGTCAGCTGTGGCAGAATTATGATAATCCCCCTTAAAGCCATGTCCCTAAAGTAACCAATCTTCCAAATACTCTCTGACACGCAACATTCCATCTAACTACTAAGCTGTGATAACACACACACACTTGTTGAACATCTGTGGAGTACTTCTGAAGTTAAAGTTAACAGGCAGCAATTTAGCAAGATCAATAAAATGGACCTTATTCAATTCTCCCTTTGACAGATTGTTAGGAACACAGTAAGAGGTATTTTGTAACTAGGCTCTAGACAATTTATTTTAAAAGTGAGGGATGGGATAGTTCTTAGTATTCATCAGATCTATCCACCTGGGCGATAGAATTAGTAGCTTCCTCACTAGGTTTTAAGCCCTGAGAATGCAGGGAAAAAACCCATGTGTCCATGCACCTAGAACAGTGCCTGGCACTTGAAGATTGACAATAAATATTTCTAGAAGAAAAGAATAAATGAGTGAATGGGCAAACAAACAAAATAATGAAAGTTGTTTCTTTAATAAAAGGGTAGGGTCCAAAGTCTTCCGTACACCAAATAAGCTGTATACAGGTTTTATGTGACCCATAAAACCTCTTGGGTCACCGCTATTACAGCAACACACACAGACTTTCTGAGCTGTCCTCCCTGCCACCTGAAGGACAGCTTCAGAGACAGACCCTTCCAGGGTTTTGCTGGTTCCAACAAAAGAGGTACAGATACGCCTAGTCATGATAGTCTGTTTCCTCACCAAACGAGGGGGGATGAATCAGAATGAAGGGGTTCTGTCTCCTTTATCCCTCTCCTCAACAAATTGAGAGAAAGGGTAATCCTAGAAATTGATCAATAACTTAAATAGAACCTTGAATGAAGGCTAAATTTCCCAGGATTGTCAGCTCTCTGATACAACCAGGGTTTTCTCAGTCTGTGCTGGAATTAAAATAATTTTATATAATAATTTCACATAGAGATTTAAGTTACTTAATTCTCTTACATTTTTTTAACTTTCTCATCAATGATCACTAGCAAAATTCAACTTTATCTCAATATTCTATTCTCTCATCCCTGTGTCCTATTTCTTTATTTCTACCTCATCCCTTCTCACTTGTCTTTCCTGATCCCTCTCTCAGAGCCCTCTATAATGCTCATGCCACTTTGAAGAAATTTTTCTGCAGCTTCACTCTCTTCAAAATCACTGTTCTTTGGGTTAATTTAAAATGGCCTTCTGTAGAGGCAAGGTTTTCCCAGGAACCTTTCATAGTACAGTTTCCTTCTTTCTTTCCCTCTACATATATTTATTGATCAGCCACTGATTGACAGCTTGTCCACTTCCCTGTATACCAGAGGGCCTGGAGGCAATATCTTTATCCTATTTGTTTGTCCCACGGGGAAAATATAGAACAAATAGACAGAAAACTTTTTACAAATGACAGAGGCTAAAAGCCAATAGAATCATGTTTTAACAAATAACTATCAGCCTACAATTTCCTACCTAATGAAACTATAGAGAGCAAAATAAAGCCATTTTTAAGACAAAAATGAGTGCTTTAGGCACTTACAGAGCCTCAGGAAAAACAAACTTTGGCCAAGAAGGAAATTTTACTCATAATCAATTAAAAATTTTTAAGAGATGTATGTTAAAAAAAATTAAGGATAGCAACTAAAATAACAGAAGTAGAATATAAGGCATACAAATTGGTTGAGGAAAAATACAATGAAGAAAACTCAATCAATCCAATAGAACAAAGAAGAGGAAAAGCAAATAAAAAAGCAAAGTGAATTTAAAGCACAAAGACAGCATATATAAATCCAAATGCATAAGTAATTAAATACATATAAATCAAATTCATCAATTAAAATATAAAGAGACTCTCAGATTGACTAAAAAGAATATCTCGATATTTGTTTACAATATCCATATATAAAAAAGCTTCAAAGGAAAAGGTTCGAAGATTTACCAAATTGTAACAAAATTAAAGCTTTGTGAATTAGTATAATATCAGATTTTTAAAGATTTTGAAGGAAACGATGGACTTATATAAATATAAAAACAGAAAATTAGTAAATTTGATCAGTGTCCCAATTCTACAACTCAACCTCAGCTTGTAAAGTTAGAGACTTGTTAATTTAAAGCACACATATAGTCCCATTAAAGTGAATGCGATGATCACATATTTAAGAAGGTACATATGGCTGGATCACAAGCCCTATATCCCAGTGATTTATCAGAAGGACAGGAATGAAAAGGGCCTAACATTCTGACCAGTGTGGGTATCAGTTCTGCATTTGCTGACCCATTTGAATGAAGCATTACCAACTACAGCATTTTGGCATATAAAACAGATTTTCCCACTAAAGTTTCAGAACGAAGCACCCATGGGCACTATTAAAATAAATATTTTTGAATACCCAAATCCCTCTTCTTTAAAGAAAAAAAAACACTATTGTATATACTATAATTATTTTATATAGAAGGGAACATACGGCTTTTTAATCTACTACAGTGTATTATCAAGTTATGAATAAAAAAACTGAGTTGTTAAATATCTAATTTTCAAATAAAAGGTGTATTAGGACACTTCAATGACTATGTTTTAGTGTGAAACAGCACTTTTGTTCCTGTAAAGTGAAATAAATTTAAAATATGATTGAAAAAATAGTTCAATAACACTAAATGTTACTTTATAAACTGGAGATTTATACTTATAATAGCCCTGAATGCCATTTTTAAACCTAAAAATTACAATACAAAAACCTCTCATTTGCTGAAATTGCCATGATCTGAAGTGTCATTTACTTAATGCTTCACAGATGTATGATGCCAAATTGTTAGTCAGACTGCAAAGTATATTTAGTTAGGAAAAAAAAATTCCTCCAAAACATGTTTTCCTATATTTTACTGACATTTACATGGGGCAGTATTTGAAATGTGTCATTTATTTGTACTTTATAATCCATGAATGAAGCTCTCATTTTTTCTTAAAATCAAATACATTGTTATTGTGGCCACATAATAGCTTTTCATTTAAAGACACCATTGTGTCTATAATCCCTCAGACCAGGATCATGTGCTACTTTGTCAGATCTTTAATTTGACTTTTCATCACACTTACTCTTTGACCTTTACCCTAAGATGCTTAGTCATTACTGAACTGTTGCTGTAAGGATGTTTTACTACACAATCTAGTCCACTATTTATCGTGAGCCTTTATATGTTGTTGGTAAGCCTGTGTGCAGTTTTGGGACAGCACTAATTTTACCACTAGGTTATTAGTGTTATAAGAAGACGGACTCATGAATTTGGCTAACATTGAATGCATGCCACAGAATGAGGTTATAGACAAAAATGGAAGAGACTATTGATATGTTCCTTTGTGCTAAAATGAATATGCATAAATAAATGGAAGGTTTGGTATCTATTAATGTTAGGGGTTTTTAAATGTCATGACTTACTATTAGAGTAATTATGGGTCTAGTTACAATCAGCAATAGTAGTATAAATATGACTAAGAAGCTGGAAAAGAAATAAAAATGGGAATATTGAGAAATGTGTTTTTTCTGACTAAAAGTAATATGAATAACTAACATGGTTGTCTGTATATTACTAGCACCCTTTAAAACCTCTTAATACTACTAATTACAGAACAGCAGAGTGGGGTACAATTTTTTATAGGCTCCCCTACAATGCAGAGGTTGTTTCTATGACAGCTGTAACTATGCATATAGCAAATTCACCCATTTCTAAATTTCTAAGGAACAAAGATTGTGTCATACTTTAGTACATAAGTAACACATAATCTCTTAAACATATAATGAAGTCAAGTTAAATGCTTACTTACAGAAACTTAATTGTCGACTTTCACAGAATTCTGCATATTGAGCTGAATCCATAATTCGAGTTTGTCTTTCAGCTCTCTACAGATAAAATTAAAAAGACACACACAAAAAGGAAAGTAGATTACATACATTTTCAGAGCTAAAACTTAGAATTGAAACTTCATCTTCCCTTCTTTCTTTACTCTCAGTGAAGAGTTTAGGACTACCATAAATACCACGATATATAAAATTATAAGTAACAGTTTTGAAGCTTGTTTCTTTTGGAAGTTAAGTTAAAATACCATTTTCCACTCCTGTTGTTGTCATTATAGCAGAAGAAAAAAACTGAAGGATCTAACTTCTTAGACTGAGGACTTCTAAATTTTTGTAGCTTTATCATTCTTTTAAAGAAAAAGAAAATGGTGAGGAGATAATAAAATATCCAACAAAAAAATTGTTAGTTCTTATTGCCTATCTGACTTAAACCTGGGATTTTTCAGTGTTAAAACAGGAGTCAACGAATGGAATCCATATATTTACCCTCAGAACATGGAGCCAGAGCTAACAAATCCATATTTTAAATTGCAAAGACAATAAAGACAAGGGTAAACACAACACAAATCCTTTAATCTGAATCCAGGTATGATTCACAGTTGGTATCGGTTCATTCGTGGTTTTGATTCAGTGTAGCAGATGTTTGCTGCTTCACTGTCCCACAAGAGGTAGGATAATTATAATTCACCCGTAGTTTGGTGGGAGAGAATATGACCGCTTCCGCTTCCTTGGCAAGGGAAGCATTTTGAAATGCTACAGGCTGGTACTTCTTGGAATGAGTTCCTTGCCAGTAAAGGAAACAATTCCCTGAGATTTTAAATTTTGTTTCTGCTTTGGAAGGATCTTCAGCAAGTTTTCTTTATCAGAGTTGTTGCAGTACGTAAGTGCCACTTCTGATGTCTGTGGATATTTTTATATTTTTTAAACTGAAGCTATTCTTTTTTCATTTTGTTTGATTTGGGCGAATGGTCAACTTAATTCCAATGACCTATCAGTTGATGGAATGAATATGGTTGCAGCTCCATACAGGGGTGGTGGGAGTTAAGGTACAATTTACTTACTACTATGGGTCCTTCTAAGACTATTATTTTTCCCTTCTTTCTCTTCCTCCTCCCTCCCTCCTTCCTGTCTTTCTTTTCCAATCTTCCCCAGACGTACTCACAAACCCACATATGCATTGACACATACCCAGACTTCTGTTTACCCTCTAGACTCAGGTATCTTTTTTGAATGTGTGCAGGTAAATAATACACATACATACATGTATATTATGTATTTTGGGAATGTAGAATATATATACATACAAATATACATATATGTGCATAAGTAAATATATCTGACACATGACTCACTAAATGTTTCCTAACCTGAACACAGGAAGCAAAGAAGGGAGAATTTATGCATTTTGAATATAACAAATCAGTTCTGAATGTGTTTGCTAAAATAAACTTTTAAGACTGATAACACTATCATTAATGTAGATGTGTCTGTCTGTCTATCTGTGTCTGACTATAAAAGGAACTCCTTGGGTTTGAATTTCTAGCTCCTAGAAATATCTGACGCATGGCAAACAAATAGAACATTTGTGGAATGAATGCTACCATTTTAGTCCATATGATCAGGGGCAAAGAGCTCTCATGGCCACCGTGCAGCCGGTCTGATGATCTAAGCACTCTTACATAGGCCTTCTGTGTTCCTCCCCAGCTAGACAGCCTCATCCACCCGACATATGCTAGACAGCCAGGACTTAGGTAACTACTGAAAAAGACAAAGTTCTTAATGGGATCCTTAAACCGACTTTTCTTCCACTAGCTGGACAATCAAGATTTCACTTCGGTATGTATACTTTGTTGATATACCTGTAGTATTTCTGGTAATGAAAGTTAGGAGAACTTATCCTAAGAGGTTAAAGTTGCCAGGGTTGCCAGTTTTTATTAAGTGAGGTGTTTAGCTAGTTTGAAGATTCTGAACTGCAAAGACTAATCTGATTACACTGAAAAGAAATGGAAGGGTTTTAATTATTAGAGCTAGCCTCATTCCTTTCAGACACTCCCTTCAGTGTGTATTCTTTTCTTCCTTAAGCATCTTAGTTTGATTTCAATTCCTCCAGCATTAAGCAGTAACCTTTGATCTCAGACGCCAAAAGAAAGGTACAAATTTGGCCTTATAAAAGGATCCAAATCATTCAGTTTAGATCATATTATCTCTATCCTTACACTATTGTTTTAAATACTGGGAAAGGCAATAAACATATAACCTTAATGGGCTGTCACTTTTAAACATAGTAACTATGTTTAGTTTCTGTAATCTCAGTGTTGGCCAATGCTCAGCTGGGGTCACCTAAACCTCAGTAAGGGTTTCATAGCAAGATGGATGAGTGGGCAGAGGGATGGATGGATGGAGGCAAAAGAAATACAGATAAACCCTTGCTGCCTGATCTAAAATCAGGAACTGTAACATTTGTAACCAAATTGTACAAATTCCAGAGAGGATGGGCAGCTTTTTAAAACCAAAGACCCATTAAAAATGAAGACATTGGCCAACTATTAAAAAAGTTTGGTTTTTATTTTCAGTGTTGTCTAAGTCCACTTTCCCTTCTGCCTCTCTTCAGATCACCCATTCAATTCACACTGAGGGGCACACTGGCCGTCTTTTTCTATTCTTGGTACTGTGAGAAGTCTCTGGAAGGAGATGCCAGGAGAAAAATAGTAAATCTAGTCAAGCAGCATGATCAGAATAACAATGCCTATGCTGTACATAGAGCAGCACAATCACCTTCAAGATAAACAGTTTAATAGCTCCATTTTACAACTGAGAACACAGATTTAGAGAAATAGGAAATTTTTTTTTAGAAAAGTAAAAAAAAATGTTTAAAGTATACAATTAATAAGGAGGCAAAGCTAAAAGTAAAACTTGAGTCCTAAATGACCTACTCTAAGGTATATCAATGAATAATCATAGCAGTTAATCATAGCTTTTATTCATACTGAACACTCTCAAATTACACAATGCTCTCCTGATCTCAGGCTGTCATATGAACGTAGGGTCATCTTTGGATGAGTCATTATCTTGTATCTGCAAGTCCAGTTTGTCTTCTACTTAATCTGTCACTTCTACCCAATCCTCGGTTTCTTTAAGTATCAATAGTCTTGAACACTCCTAAAAATATACCACACACTTAGAGGCTTTTCTGAAATTAAACCTTAGCAGTATTACACTATAGCTAAATATTACCATACAGGGGCACACATGGAAAAATTACACCTGAAAGAATTATTCTTAAAATTTTCCAAACACCCAAAAATATTCTTAAATTTCATTGGAATGGCTTTGTAAATAAGTAAGAGAGACTAGTTATGTTAATAGTCACTCATCTCATTACCAGGAAATTACAGCTTTTTCTGGTTATTGTAAAATAAAGTTGGAAGGCAGAATTCCATGCCAGATGGAATCATTTTTGGGGTCTTACCTAAATGAAAACGGGGAAGCAAACATCCCTAGAGATGAAGTACCTGTATAATTTGTTTGTTCAATACCTTGAACATAACAGACATGGTATATATTTATTAATTTAAATTTTCAGTAAAAAGTTTTTATTTCAATTAACATGAAATTGTCTGTGTCTTTGAAAAACACTTCCAGCAGTGAAAATCACCAGTGCCCCCCCTATATCAGTTTGAGGCATGAGGCTGGATTACTTAGGCAGCATATAATTTCACTGAGTCCACACCGTGTCACTGGAACACATGTGAAGGGTGCAGGAGCTCTGTGCTGGCACACGTTACCTTTCTTCAGTAGCACAGATGACGGAACATGAGTTTTAAGCTTAGATGAAAGTTTATTTGCTCTCACGTTTACCTTGGATTTTAAATTATCTTACTTTGATTACTCTTAGAAGTCTTACAATTGAAATGCAAAGTCCTCTCTGCAAGGAAAAGGCAAATGCCAATGGTAATTTACTGGCTACCTTATGTTAGGTGGAAATTGGTTGCTGAACTTGCAAACTTCACACGGAGTGGTTGGCAGCAGCCAGCAGTGTGACAATATGGGTTATGGACTGTTTACGCATGTTAATTTACGTTGTGGTCCATTTGCAGAAGGATACCAACAGATCAGGAAGCACACAGAATGCTGGAGAAACTCAGAAACCATTATCCCCGACTCACAGCAGATAAGAAGCTGAAGTCCACGAAGGTTAAAGGGTTTGCCTGGGTTGTGGAGAAGCAGCCCAGGGCCCAGATGAGAGTGCTTGTTCTGCTGGCTGTGTCCTCATTTAGTAGATTCTTCTACCCAAATCAAGTGAGTCTACCTCAAGACATCTGGTAGATTTTCCCTACCTTTATTCCCACCTCAAAGTTAATCACTTAGGGCCTGGAAGACTGCAACAGGTTTCTGGCGGGTTCCTTCCAAATATTTTAACCCTCCCATCTGGGTGACCACTTTAAATAAGAACAGAGAGAAGGCCTTGGAACATAGCAAGACCTTACCATGGCAGGCCCTCCTCCATCCACACACCACTTTCATTCCTCTGCCTATAAACTTGAACAAATGGCTCTCAGTTGATCACTGCATTAAATTCAAGCTCAAATGCTTGGCTTCCAAATGTAGCCATATTCGGGTCCATTCTCTATAGGCAGACATTGTTCTCAGTAAAACCTAACATATTTGCCTGTTTGCCCTGCCCTCCCTCATCACTGTGCAGGCCAACCCCTCTCCTATCCACAGGGTAATTTAACTCCTTCCCTTTCAGCATAGGTACCACCTCCTCTAGGAAGCTTTCCTGAAGATCCCAGGTCACACTGATTTCTCTTCTGAAATATTTGTTCTTCCAGATGGTATTATACCCCTGCACTTTTCTGTATGTTCTAATTTTGTCCCCCTGCAAAGACTGTAGCTGTGAGACTGAAAAAAAACAAGTTGAGGATGAGAATGTACTGTGATCCCATTTCTTTAAAAGTGCCCGCCCACCCCCAACCCCGGGGCACACACACACAAAACACACATACATGTGCAAAAGCTTGGAAACATATACATTACACTTTTAA